TGAAACGGATTAAAATAACAACAATTTTGAAAAAATTTGATGCGTCTTGACTCATTTCATTATAATTTCTGGATATAAATAAGTTTTTTGGTTAAGAGCAAATTAAATCGCTCAAAATAAGGTCAATTTCGATATAATTTTGTTATTTTTTCGACCAATTTTGACAAAATTTTGTAAAAAAGTGAGTGTTTTGGTTACAAACAAAATAATATATCAAAATAAAGTTAATTTTAATATGATTTGATTACTGCAAGTCTTGTTTTGATAAATTTTGCAAAATAAAAGAGGTCAAAACAATATAAATAAATATAAGCAATTTTTTGTTAAAAACATTAAAACTAATTTAAAATTTACAATTTTTTTGCTGTTTATAATTAAATAATAATTATCTCATTTACTTCCAAACTAGTTGATGATTTCACACACCAGTTGTTGTTTGCAAATGTTTGCAAACTAAATTGCAATATTTATGGAGATTTGTTATAATAACACTAAAAAAGCTACTACAGTTATTTAGCTATTTATACAGGGTGACTTTTAAAAAACAGCGGACGCTGTAGAATTACAGAATATTAAAATAAAAATATTAAAACAAATTTTATTCGCTCATCTATATGGTGGGTGTCACTTGAGCCATTTTAATGTATTGAAATAGTATATTATGTTATGCAATACACATAATTGTAGTATAATGAACTATTTTAGTGCCGATTCGGAAGAAAGCATTTTTTGAATAGAGTGATTACGGAATTTACGACTTTTTCTCCCGTAAAACTTGAGTAAAACGCTATTATTTTCCTTGTGTTGTACACGACGCCGGCAGCGTGTTTGTTGTAATTTAATAGCATTTTGGTACACTTAATTTTAAACTTAGCTGCAAATTAGGGAATTTAAGTTGTCGAAACTTTGTATAACAATAACCTGAAGCAACTTGTTTTAAATAAAAGCTTGTATATGTTGCAATTTTTAAGTCGACAAATCTCGAATCAAGTTTCAAAGTTGGTCGCAAATTTCGTAAATTGCAATTATAACTTACCGTAACTGCGGATTCTGCGGCAAAACCCTAATTGGTCCATCTGGAAAAGAGACGTTAATTAGTTGTGTGGCATTTGGGTAAAATCATCTTTGAGTTATTTCTCTTGCATAATGGAGGAGTTTTTAATACGTTTCGGGTTTCTGCGTTACACATGTTGTAATTACGTGTCATGTAAAATTTAAACAACGTTTCAGCGACGAAGATAAATTATTTTACTGTAAACCCAGTCAAATGCGACTCTGTTTCACTGATCAAATAAAGAAAATTCCGTTTGGTAAAAAGCGAAAAACTTTGTTGGGTAAATTGTGATTTGTGTTGGGGGTTGCCCCCAAATATGTATGCATGTCCACGGAAACTAAGTTGGAGTGCGGTTTATCAGGCCGGAAGTTTATCGACATACTACTATTTCCGGTTGAAAACTTTCCCAAACGATGATAAACAAAGATACGTCTTATCTAAACTTTAATTCCGTGTCATCGCGGAGCTTCCGAGCTTTCACGCGAATATTTTTGCTTTATAAATTGTAATAAAAAAATAAATTTTCTGCCAGCGCAATGTAAAATTCTCATTAATTCTAGTTTGCTTTGATGCTCGAAAAATTGAGGGCCCTTTTTGGCCCTAATTATAATTATTCGCTGCTAAATTCTCATCAAGACTATGGCTGGAATTTAACATGAATAACGCCCTTCTTTAATTAAGATGATTTAGTGATTATTATTTTCTTCGCTTGACTCGATGCGACCTGAATGCGTAATACGACCCACGAGTTCTTCATTCAATTGCATTTAAAAAAATACTCAAGAGCTATTTTAAGTGATAATTACTTGCATTCAGAGAAATATTCTGAAATATTTTCAACTAGTGTGGAGTTTATTGCGTTTTGAGCTTTGCCAAATTCCCCAAAAATGGCAAAAAATGATTCCAGTTAATGAAAAAATGATCTCTCATAGCAAAATGTTTATTTTAAATTGCGATTGCTTATTCAAAAATCGAGGGTTCGAACCCCGATGAGGCCTTGTTTTTTTTTCAAATCTTTTCAAAATTAGAATTAATTCTAGTAAAAACAACGTCAACTGTGCTTGTTTTTGTGTGTTGCACACTTGTTCTTGCTTTGAAAAACTTTGTTGAATAAATTCAAAAAATTGTAAAATTTGGGCCTAAAAGTGCTATTTCTGTTAGGTTTTTTTTCATTTTTTATCAAAAGTCAATTTAAGCATCAAAAGTTAATTTAAGAAATTTTGTAAATTATGCTAAAGGTTTTAAAAAGTGGTTTTAAATACTATCTGGTAATTTATACAAAATGTGGGAGTTCGAACCCGAATCAAGTCATTTTTTTTGTTTTCTGTTTTTAATTTTTTACAATTAAAAAAATAATTTTGATAAAAGGTAACTAAAATGTTGTTACTTTAACTGTAAATGTGTGACTTATCGCATTTGATCAAAAAATTGGAGTTGTTTTTTCAAAAGTCGGAGGTTCAAACCCCGATCCAACATCGTTTTTTTTTTCAAAATTAGAACAAAAATTTATTAAAAATAACGTCAGCGGGTTTGTTTTTATGTTTTGCATTATTTTTGACAATAGTTGATCTTGTTTTGTTAAAATTTCTTTAATAAATTTAAAAAATCATGAAATTACTAAAAGTTTTTTCGATTTTCGTATTTTTGAGTAAAAGTCAAGTTATGTCTAATTATGGTAAACGTTTTAAAAACAGGGTTTAAAGTCAGCATTTTTTTCTCTGATCTGTATTGATTTATACAAAAAATGGAGGTTCTAACCCAAATCAAGTCAATTTTTTTCTGTATTTTTTAATTTTTTTCAATTAAAAAAAATCTGGTAAATGTAACATTATGTTGGACTTTGACTTTAAATGTGTGACTATCACAACAATTAGAGTTGTCTTGTCGAAAGTTTGAATCCCAATTTATTTTTTTCAAAATTAGAGAGATAATTCTAGTGAAAATAGCATCAGCAAAGCATGTTTTTGTGTTTTGCACTATTTTTAACCATAATTGTAATCTTACATTAAAAAACTTTGTTGAATAAGTTACAAAATTGTAAAATTCGGCTCTAAAAGTGTTATTTCTGTTGGGTTTTTTTCGATTTAAATAATTTTTGTCAAAAGTCGGATGTTCAAACCCTGATCCAAACTCTTTTTTTTCAAAATTAGAAAAAGAATTTAGTAAAAACAACGTCGGGAGACTTGTTTTTCTGTTTTGCATTGTATTTAACAATAATTGCTTTTGTGTAACAAATTTAAAAAAAAATGTGAAACTGCGAAAAGTTTTCTTCAATTTTTTCATTTTTGAGCAAAAGTCAGCTTTATTTCAAAATATTTATGTTCAATTAAGCTAAACGTTTCAAAAACAGGATTCAAATACACTATTTTTTCTCTGATCTACATAGATTTATTCAAAAAATCAAGGTTATTCTAACACAAATTAAGTCAATTTTCTTTGTTTATTTTTAAAATTTTTGACAATAAAAAAATATTCTGGTAAACATTGGACTTTGACTTTAAATGTATGACTTATCGCAAAAATTAGATTTGTTTTTTCAAAAGTCGAATGTTGAAACCCCGATCCAGCCTCATTTTTTTCAGAATTAGAAAAAATAACGTCAGGAGGCTTATTTTTCTGTTTTGCATTGTTTTTAACAATATTTGATTTTGTTTAATAAATTTAAAAATTGTGAAGTTTTTTTTCGATTTTTTAATTTTTGAGCAAAAGTCTGATTTATTTCAAGAGATTTATGTTCAATTATGCTAAACGTTTTAAAAACAGAGTTCAAATACACCATTTTTTCTTTTATCTACATAGATTTATTCAAAATATGGAGGTTCTAACCCAAATCAACTCATTTTTTTTGTATTTTTAAAATTCTTCAAAATAAAAAAAATATTCTTCTAAACGTAACTAAAATGTTGGACTTTTACTTTAAATGTGTGACTTAATGCAAAAATTAGAGTTGGTTGGTTTTCAAAAGTCGAAAGTTCGAATCCTGATCCAACCTCGTTTTTCTTTTATTTTTTTTTTTAAATTAGAGAGATTATTCTAGTCAAAATATTGTCAGCAAGGCTTGTTTTTGTGTTTTGGACTATTTTTAACCATAATCGATCTTGTTTTAAAAAATTTTGTTAAATAAATTAAAAAAAAGCGAAATTAAGCTCTACAAGTGTTGATTGTGTTAAATAATTTAAATATTTTTTTAAGAAGAGGCATCTTTTACTTATTATTTTTGTCAAGTTGGTATTTGAGAAGTTTTAGTAATTAAACAGATTTGGTGAATAAACCATGGTTTTCAGAAAAGTTTAACAAAAAATAAAGAAATAAAAAGTAANAAAAATATTCAATAAAATTTCATTTGCTCTATATAGTAAATAAAATTTATTTGAATTATGTTTTTAAATTGTTTTTAATTTTTCTTATTTTTTTAATCAAAATCGTTGTAATTTTAATTTTTTCGGCTTGTTTAATTCAGTGTGGCTTACTTTTTACCCAGAATTGTCTTATGATTGGCCCTTTTTCTCGAGAATATCATAAAATTGGATCAATTTCGGTATAAATGTCTCACGTTCGAAATAGTTGCAGTAATGATGTTACGTCAGACTCGCTTAAAATTCATCCTAAACAAATCCCATGTATCTGCCGAAAGCAAAATCGCCTTGTCAGCCACAAAGGACAAGCATGACCCTTACGACGTCCCTAATCCTTCAGGATCGGTTATAAAGGCATGCCTTGACATCGCTTTTGTTTCAGTTATAGCTAATATGAGCATCAGCAGCTTTTACAAACTTTTAAAAGCTCTCGATTCATTACTAGAAAAGGTCAATGGACAAAATTTAATTCCCTTTTACGACCCCAGGGTGCGAATTAAGCGGTCGAGAGGGACGACAAACTGATTTTGACTTAATGAAAATGTGTTTAATTTTTTAATTTCAAAAGCTCGTTGCTGGTTTATTATTTTTTTGACTTATTGTTAAGCGTGAAGCTCTAGGTTTTCGTATTATGTTGACGTCAAATTTTCGTGACTTTATTGAAATTCCAGATGAAGTGAAGCTCCGTGTTCGGAGCTTTTCAAATAAGACGTTGCCATGGCTGCATCAAGCATCAAAAGTATTTCGTTTTTCATGATTGGTCAATTGAATGCACTGAAAACTATGTTTGTGTAAAATCCAGTCTTGAAGCTGGAGGTCATTCTTCAAACTTTTTTAATGAACACAAAAGCTAGCATTGATTTAAATTCGGAGCTTTCATCAATACAATAAGCTCATTAAAAGATAAAGTCTAGAAATAAATTATTCCAGCTACTTTAAAAAAAAAAGATCAAAGCTAGGATAATTGTAAATTGACAACTTTTACAAAAACGAAACAATAATGAAACTAATTTAATTTTGACGCATGTTTTATCACAAATTTTTAATTATTTCCTGTGTCGCTCTCTAAAAAGCTCGTGGCCTCTGGCAAAATAAACAAAAACAATGCACGAAAGCCGTTAATAACTCAGGTGGTGTAGCAGAAGAATATGCAAATTTGTCTAGAAGCGTTTTAAGAAATTAAAAAATTGCTGTTTCAAAAGGAAATTTGTTCGAAATTTACTTCGTGATACGCTGTCAAATAAAAGCAGAAAGAGGGATATATGAGATCGCAGGATTGTAGCAACATTCCATCAGTCAACGAGATTTTAGCGTGGAAGATGCAATATCGCAGAAATTTGTCCAAATCTATCATTTTTAATATTTGATGTTGAAGATGGAGTAATTCTAATTATGATGAAACTTGGCAACTTTTTAATTCCGAGAACTAATTCTGTAAGAGCATTTCCGGAGTTGAAATATGGAAGCATGAAATCGCTGGGGTGCACCGAACGTCGAAACTGAGAGAAATAATTTCTTGGAAGACGCCAGAGGTTTGTAAAAAAGCTCACAAGAGGAGGAAATTATTGGAAAATTGACCGCAACAGATTTAAGTCTAGGCAAAAAGGCTTTTTTCATAGAGATAAGTTGGTTTCGTCTATGATTTATTAAAAAAAGAATTGATTTT